AACAAACAAAAAACTCTGCATGCCCACTCCTCCCCCCCTCTGCTGTCTGCATCAGTTTGTCACTCCTCAATCGTCCATGCTGCATCGACCTTTTGGTAAGACAAGGGCAACGAGGCGAGTAAAAAACTCGACTCGTTTTTATTACTCGTTTTAGGCGAGTAACGAGTAGGGCAAATCGCATTTTTTTCTCGTCCGAGGCGAAGCGAGTAATGCTCTCGAGTAAAAAATACTCGCCTTTTACTCGTGTTTTCATTGAGTAATTGTGATCTCGCGAGTACAGATTGTACTCGCGATTAATTTGATACTTCTTATGTCCTGATCCCCGCAGCAGTGGGTGTGAAGAATCAACATTTCTAGATCTGGCGGATCATTTCAGTACAACCCGCCAGCCTACTAGATCTAGCGTTTTAGATCGTGCACGGCCATTATGCAACCAATTAGAGGCCAACTATGTAAATCTATCTATGTAGATCTAGTCTAGCAATCAACTAACGTTTTATATCTGCTTTTGTCGATCGCCCTGGACTACTATTAGTCAAGCGTAATTAAGTAACTTGCACGCATGTAATAACTCGTTAAAAATGCTTTACTAAGGTTCCAAGAGGTCTTTGGTTCTAAAGAAACGCCGTTTTAGACGGTCGTTATCAAACTAGCGGGGCACCAAACCATGGGACCATAACTAAGCAGGACGAAGGGAGGCTGGGTACTAATTCATCAAGTTCTGCACATAGTTGTTAGCCCTTCCTTGCATGTTGCCCTTCGTGGCCATGATTGTGAAAGTATTCAACCATTTTTTCTTTCCTTCTTCATTTGTGAGCTGGGTTCTCAAGCAAAAGAACAGCTGAATTTTTTTATATGATCGTAAATAACGGACTGTATTTTACGAGCCTCTCGTCTCATCACGTCCAACTCACTCAACCCTACACAGTGATCTCAGCTCCAACTCGCTCGTGGGCTCCATTCCCGACAGCATCTCTGCGCTCACGGCACTCGCATCTTTGTAAGAGGTGCACTGGGTTTGCTCCACCTGCGTGCTCCACCTGCAGAACTCAAATCTGCAACTACAGAGTCAATCTTTGCAATCTCTGTCATTCCTGTGCACCCGCTTGCCTTGCAATAGCCCTTAAGTGATCAATCATTTTAAGTCCCTGCCACCCTTTGTGGACAGGCTTCTGAGCCTCTCGCCTCACCACATCCAACTCCCTCACCCACACAGGGATCTGAGCTCTAACTCCCTCACCGGCTCCATTCCCAACAGCATCTCCAAACTCTTATATCTCGTGACACTGTAAGCCGCGCACTGGGTTTGCTCCACCTGCGTGCTGCTCTGTCCACTGGGTGCTGCATGCCCCGTGCGCATCGCTGCTGACACCCCACCACTGCCTATGCACTCTGCATGCCCACTCCTCCCCTCCTCTGCACGTTGCATCGCTTTGCGACTCCATGTTCCTCCTTGCTGTTGTACTTCAAATTCATGCTTTTGTTCCTGAATTGGCAGAACTCAAATCCCTGAATTGGCAGAACTCAACTCCTGAATTGGCAGAACTCAAATCCTTGAATTGGCAGAACTCAAATCCCTGAATTAGCAGAACTCAAAACTACGATTACTGATTCTCAACCTCAACAATTTCATTCATTCCTCTGCATTTGGTCATTTTGCTATTGCAATTTCAAACCAATCAATCCTTATAAGTTCCAGCCACTGCATCTTTCCTACCGTCTAAACCAACGATCTGGCTCGTCTTGATGGAATTCACGCATTCGTTGCTTTAGAAAAACTTATATGTGCTACCCAATTTTAAACTTTCTTGTCTATTCAGCTACTCCTCTAGATGTCCTGCTCTTCTGTACAGGGATGTGCACCAAAATGAATTTTCCGGGATCATTCCAGCCACACTTGGGAGTCTTGCTCAATTGGACTACCTGTAAGCTGCGTAGCTGTTCTGCATGCCGTGTGCACATCACTGCTGTCTGGCATTCCTCACTTCTTATGTGCCCGCGTATTCACTGCGTAACGGACCTCTCACAAGAAACATTCAGCGTTTATACGCTAGCGTATCATATGCAAACAGCGTGTATTCCAACTTAGCCTCCACTGGCGACAATGCAGACCCGATCCACTTGCGACGCTTCTGCAGAGATGCATTTCCAACACAACGCCTTTGGTGGCAAGTAAAGGCTCCCCACTACAACGATTGTCGGCACCATGTGGCAAACGAACGGGTGCTCGACGTGCCCATCATGTATGTGCAGTGCAGCGTGGTACATGCATATCGCCTCATCCGCCGCTGTTATCTTCGCGGCCACCTCTCCCCTTAAGTAATCCGTAGCGTTCCGCTATTATATTCGCAGTATTGGAATGAGTGGAATCCGATTCTTACACTATCGCCGCATTCGAGGAGTTTCCCACTGATTTCTCATTGCTGATGCCGGCGCCAACATTACTAGAAGGTGTCTAGTCGCGGGTCCAGATCTCAAAACCCATCGTCATCGGCCTCATAGCACAACTCCTCCAGCGTGCGTGCGGCCCCTGCTGCGAGGAGGCTCCTGCCGCTCGTGTTCTGTGCCATCCATGACTTAATAGCCAAAATTTGGCTGTCAGAAAACTATGGTTAATAACCAGAGTTATATGACAGAGGGAAGTGTAGTGGTGTACGTTGGAGTGGTGTACATTTGTACATAAGCAAGACGCATCTAAGGAGAGAGGGCGGATGGGCCAAGCCCGGCGGTTGGGTTTCGGAAAGGGGCAACCTGACAGGAGAGGGTGGCAAAGTGCAAGTGTGGCAGCCGGGCGGTAATAGGACTGTGAGGAAGGGTTACATTGGGGGTGGCGAATGATTGGTGCTTGAGTGCATGCATTTTTTGTGTTTTCTGTTCTGCAAACGCCGAGCCCGTGCGAAGCTGGAAGTCACTGTAACCAGCTGGATGTGGTTAGAAAATCTTGCTAGCCTAGATCTGGAAGGGACATTCGTTGAGTGTCCTCTTCAAGCCTAGGATAGGATGAGGTAGACAAGGGTCGTGCGGGCCATGGGACTGCCATTGCTTGTATGTTTCCGTTTCTTACTGTGCTATATTCTTGAAGCTAAACAGTAGAAGGCGGGGCCATAACAAGCACTCGAATGGGGTAGGAGGGGAATCGAATGTGAAGGGGGTTGAATTAGTGGCAGCCAGAAATAAGGGAAAGCAGAAAGTGGGGTAAGGAGTCAATTGAGCAAGGGCGGGCAGGAAGGGAAGGGTGAGGAAGGAGGGTTGTGGAAGCAGCAAAAAGAAGGCAGCAGGAAGAGGCATGAGAGGAGGAGCAGAGAGAGACAGTACTGAGCAGGGCTGAAGGGAGATTCCGACATGGCGCATGACGAAATCGCGAAGTTGTCACGACCAAATAAAACAAATAAAACCGGACTGTCGAACACAATGGCTGTTGGGTTGGCGCATAAAGTTTTGGGCATCTGTGAAATGTTTATGTTGTTTTCTTGTAACTCAACCTCCGCAAATCAATGTGGTATTTAAACTCACAGGACATCCACTTTGTGGTGTGAACGAGGCTTGGTCCGGACGTCCACTTTGACGGACGATGGCCCCATTTAGTGGCGAGGAGATAGCTAACAAGGATTTAAAGCTTAAAAATGAGCTCCAATTCCCATTTCTTACCTGAATTTGAACTTGCACTCAAGTTGCCCCTCCGAGCAGAGATCGAACTGGTCAAATTGGCCTAACGGGATCTTGTCAAACCAAAAAGGATGAAAACATAACTCTACTTTGGTTCCACACGAACCGGTTTGCCTAAACCGAACCAAGGTTCGTTTAGCCATGCCTAGTTGACAGCTATCTAAATCTATTTCTTGACTTGTGCATGCAACCATCCGCACACAAGTTGCCCCAAGCATATTCTCTCCTGTGCCGATCTGCCCACTTCCACTGCAGCAACACATCTGACACCAGCCTCACTTGTCTTGCTGCTGACAGCACCACCTGCACCCAAACCTTATCGCCAGTGGCGGCCTTCTGCCAAGATTGTGCCACCACCTGCTCTGCATGCCAGCAAACAGCAGGTTAGTGGGGGCGATGAAGCTGTGCCTGGTTTACTTGAATCGCCCCCACTTCTGCCATACTAGTGCTGTTGTGATTGGCAGTTCATTCTCTTTGCTCAGATGACTTCGTATCCCTTAGCTCACCTGACATGCTTTTGTTGTGCTCAAGCAGCAGCAGCAGCAACAGCAGCAGCAGCAGCATCTGGAGGTGGAGGTGGTGTATCAGTAGGAGCCATTATTGGCATTGCCGTTGCTGCTGTGGTCGTCCTCCTCCTGCTTCTGGCTGCCATGCTGCTCTGCTTCAAGCATCAGAAGCGGCAAATCTCAAAATGTAGGAGGAGCAGGACTGGTGCTCGATGTGCACAGCTCAGCTCATACCTCCCCTCCTCCTCAATGTTCCTTGTTAACATGGTTCCTCTTCCTTTTGTCTACTTATTTTGTATGTGTGTGCTCGATAACAAGGCAGGACAAGGCAAGGGCTCGCTCATTACCTCCTCACACTTCGCCCCCGACCCCACCGCCATGCCCAGGGGCCAGCCTGGAGTTCTCGCTAAAGGAGGTGCTCAAGGCCACCAACGACTGGTCCGACGACAACCTGCTTGGCTCGGGTGCCTTTGGTGATGTCTACAAGGGCGTCTCTCCCCGTGATGGCACCACACCCTAGGCTGTGAGGCGCACCAAGCTCATGGGCGCGGAATTCCAGGGGGAGGTGAGTGCCGCATATGGGGAGATGGCTGGACTACAGACTCCGTCAGTCAACATGGGGATAAGACAATTCGGTTTTCCATTACTTTCAAACAGAAAGACGCTTCATCTAAGAATGTGCTATCTATTTTGATCAGGACTATTCAGCTTCCCTAATCTGAGCGAGCAGAATCACTGTTTTTCCTTCTCTTCTCAACCTACTCTTTCTTTCCTGCCGCCTTCCTCCTGTTCCCGTGTGCCGGTTCTCACTTCCTCCAGGTCATGCAAATGGCCGACAAGAACCATCCCAACATTGTGCGACTGCTTGGGTTTGCGGTGGGAGGGGACGTCAGGTCTCAGATAGAGCAAGTCCTCATCTACGAGTTTGTGCCCAATGGTGACCTCCATAAGTGGATGGGACCAAGTAAGTGTGCAAGTTGTTGTGTCGCATTCCCTAGTACAATGTTACTCGTGGTAGGCCACTCATGCTGCCTGGTGATGCTTGTCGTGAAACTCATCCTGTGGATTGTTGTAGATGCACCTTTTTCTCTGAGTCTGAAGCAACGGCTAGACATCCTCATTGGTGTTGCACGTGGCTTTGAGTACCTCCATAGCTTTGGCATTGTGCATCGCGACATCAAACCCGCCAACATCCTCATCACCAGCGACATGCAGGCAAGTGCGGCTGCAGCATCTCACACTGCATAACAAGATGCTTGTGTGGAAAGCAACTAGCCACGGGAATTGATAGGAAAAGGCAGAGCTATGCCAAAATAATTGGTTGTTCTAGTTTGGCTCATCTAGTCTCGCTTTTAATCTAGTTCTGCATATGGCTCCCGCTCACTTACACGTTCATGTTTCTTGTGTCTGGATGCAACCAGCGTATGTCGTTTGTTTTGTCACCATTGTTGTTTCTTTGTTTTGTGCTGGTGCATTCTTAATATCACATTTATCCAACCACCCATCAGCCCAAGATTGCAGATTTTGGGCTGGTGAGGGTGGAAGAGGGCACGACAGTGGGCACGACTCGAATCATGGGAACACCGGGCTATATGGATCCAGCTTACAACCGGACTTCCAAGGCCACCACAGCCAGCGATGTCTACAGGTGAGCAAAGAGCCATATAGAGATTGTGCTATGTGAGCCAGAAGACTCTGGGAGTTGGCTCAAATAAACAAGACTCCCACGAATTAAAAGAGTGGCAGTAACCTGTCACATGTCATGTCGATATTGGCTTATGCATCAAACTTGCACCTGGAACAAGCATGTCATGGAACACCACTAAAATCTTCAACAGGTTATTTGGATTCACACAATAGAGTTGTCATATGCATGTCACCATTGCGTTGCTCTCACCATCACATTGCTCTCACCACCTCTCGCACGTTGCAGCTTTGGTGTGCTCATGCTTGTGGTGCTCAGCTGGGGAGACCAAGCACATCGTGGTGTGGGTAAGTTCCACCCAGGAAGCTTGTTTCATGTTGCCATAATCGCATTCTTCCAATTGAAGTGATATATTCTTCTTCATAGGCTGACTGATGTGTATTTCACCTTTACAAACTTGCAATTTGGTCCATCCTGTTCCACTCTCTCAGGTATCCGAGTGCCTGTCATCGGGTGGTTTAGAAAGCCTCAAGCACCCCACCATGGACGCCCCTGGGGATGTTGTGCAGCGCTTGGCTGAGCTGGCAGTGAGCTGCACCGTGGAGCGCACTGCAAGCCGCCCAAGCATGGCGCACATTGCCACCCAGCTGCAGGCTGACAGGGAGGAGGTGTTGGGGAAAGAGGAATCTGGCGCTGCCATCAAGGTGGATGCGCAGGTCCAGGAGATGAAGGATGCTGTTGCGGGTGAGGACAGCCTAGAGGCACAACTTCAAATGATTGCGGATAGGGGCAGCTTCATCTCTGAACACCCAGTCTAGGATTGGGATGGGGTTATCGTGGTTCATATGTGACATTGTTGCATTATATGCATCATTCCAGCCTCCTGATTGCTTTGGGGGGCCCAAGGGACTGCCCTGTTGTTTGTGATACTTATCGTTACTTGCTCATTTTTACACCTTTTTTTTTTACACTATAGGACGGCTTGACTTTTTACACTATAGGACGGCTTGACTTGTCTTGGCTTAGTGGAGGGAAATCCTTGTTTCCACCTGAATCATGTGCAACCCTCCACGCCAGGGCTGACACTACGAAGTACAGACCTTGGAGCATTGCAGTTATATTCAGTTCTCAAATATAAGCGCACCCCCTATAAAAACGTGATTTGTTAAAAGTGCACCCCTATCACTGTAACAAATTTCACCTTAGCGGGCGAGTTCCAAATCCAGTCCCCTTCACTCTTGGGTCACTTGCTGCACGTCTAGTCAGAATGTGCTGCCATACTGGCTCTATGTGTTGGCCAAGTTCAGGGCCCAAAATATCAGGGTAAAACGCCCTGATTACCCTGGGGGCAGGCCGCTTTTTCAGGATTACCCTGCCAAAATCAGGATTCCACGAAAGTTACCCTTATGCAAAAAGAGCATGTTTTTTTTTACCCTGATAGGATATATGGTTAGCCTGACAGTATCAGGGTAGGGTGTAGACTACCATGATACCGAAACTTTTTTACCGCGGATCAGGCCATACTCCGCTTGGTGACGAACTGAACCACACCCACACAAACAAGCGTTGTCGCTTCTTAAAACTGGCATAAAACCAAGAGTCGTTGTCGGCGACACGCCATGTCGCCTCATTGGTTGTTTCACCCAATGAGGCGACACCCAGTTTGTAGAAGTAGTAGGCAGTGGGGGTGGCACTAAGTAGGAATGTTGTGAATGTGATGCTCTTCCAGAGCTCATCGACTTTGTGAGTGCTACTTTATTATGTCATTGTAAATAACTTAGCTCACAAACTAGTAACTGAAACAGGGTTGGCCTAAAACTACCCTGAAAAGGGGAGGGGACGGGGGGGTGGGAGTGGATGAAGGGGACTGGGGTGTGTTGAGAGGGGCTGGTGGTGTGGCTCGGTGTGGGTTGGCCATGTAGTCCTCAACTGGAGAAAGAGAAGGCCTGTGGGTGGAAGGAGTGGAATCAGTCCTGACAGTGGGGGGGACGGGGGAGAGAGTGAGGAAAGGGGAAGGGGGAAGCGAGGGGAGGTGGGGGAGGAGGGGGTGAAGAGGGATAGCAGGGAGTGGAATGGCTTGGTGTGTGGTTTGGCCATGCAGTGTCTGAAGTGGAGGGAGACGAAGGCCTGTGGGTGGAATCAGAGGAACCAGTCACGAAGTGGGGAGGGGAGTAGCATAGAGAGGGGGGGAAATGAAAGGTGTTGGGTGGGGGAGAGGGAGGTCGGAGAAGGGTGAAAGGGGAGGGGAGAGGGAGAGGAGAAAGGAGGAGGGGGAAGGTTGGAAAGTGGCTGTATCAACGAGGGTGGAATGGGAGCAATGAAAAGGGAGGAATCAAAAAGAATCTCCAGGTTGATCATTCAAACCTGCTTCCCCACTGCTAAGAGGGAGTGGGGGGAGCGGAGGTGGAGGGTGGCTTGCTCGAGGATGGTGGGGTGGGTGAGAGGGACGAAGTGCAGAGAAAAGTCCCACCTGGTCCCCCTCCACTAGCACTGTGGGTGGGTGGAGGAGGAGGAGGAAGAGGAGGAGGAGGAGGAGGAGGAGGAGGAGGAAGAGGAGGAGGAGGAGGAGGAGGAGGAGGAGGAGGAGGAGGAGGAGGAGGAGGACGAGGAGCTAGGCAAAAGGAAGGGGGCAGGGAGTGCAGCTAGGAATGGGGGCCTCAGTGCATATCTGTCACCTCACAACACACCTGTCGCCTCACAACACACCTGTCACCTCACAACACACTTGGATGAAGTAAGCATAGAATGATCCGCACAGGTCCGGCATGTCTCTGAACAGCTTCCTTCTCCACACACGCACTCATGCGCGCTGTGGCATCTCGAGCCTGGGGCGGTGGAGGAAGGTGCATGGAAGGGGAAACGTGGGGGGTGGTGTGGAGAAGGGGGAAGGGGAAGGGGAAGAAGACGAAGCACTGGCACGCAGGTAGAGTGTTTGGTGGAGAAGTACAGAGCAAAAAGTACAGCCTTCTCCAAAAACCACACCACGGTCTTATCAACAAGACGAAGCACTGGCACGCAGCCATCACCAGCATTTACAGCATTTATATGGTGGCACAACGTGCAAATAGCAGCAGGAATATTTGCGAGTGCCCAGGCGCCACCGCCGCCACCTCGGCGGCTGCCATAGCGGGTCCGAATATGGCTGCCTACGTCCCTGCGCGCGCCGACGCTGTTCCCCCCGCCTGTTCTGGCTCCCAGAGCTGCCCCCCCTTCCGACTCCGGCTCTCAAAGATGCCCCCTTTTGTGGCGGAGACGAGCGCCGGAGAGAATCCCACCGTGTTGACTGCGCCTGGCTGCGACCCACCTCCAAGATGGGCCACAGCGAGGGAGATGTTGAGGGCCGCCGAGGCGAAGGGCTACAGCACTCGCCGGGCAGCCGTGGGGCCTACCCGGTGAGGGGGACAGCGTTGGCGTGCGCAAGGCTACCTCACTCGTCCTCGCGTCCACGAGCCTGCCATCGCACACGGAGGCTCGACGCACGAAAACACCAGCAGCAACAGCAGTGGTGGTCACCCCTCACACTCAGAGTCACTTCCTCCTGCTCACCGGACTGGGCTACCATCTCCAATCGGTTACCCCAATTCAGGCAAGCTCTACACTGACGCCTGTGCAGAAATCAACCTTCCCCTTACGGACCGCCACAGACATCCCTTGCCACGCACGGCAGCCTGGCGAAGGCCTTGCAAGCCCTTGAGAGCACCCCAGTCAGCCCGTCCAACTGTGAGACTCTGGAGGCCCTCCAATCTCGTCTCCCCAACGCCATCCCCTTCCTTCCAAAATGACAGGTAACCTACCAGCCCCCAAGCTCACCTGTCATCTCCTTTTGAGACATATGGTTGCTCCTCTCCGGATGCAAGAACAGCATCGGCGCCATGGCAACTGCCATGTGCTTCAAACACCTACATGACGCCCCCTTAACACCTTCTGGCCCTCGCGAACATGGCACTCGCAGGGAGGCTCACCACACGGAGGCAACCCTTGCCTTCGCCAAGCCTAAGCGCTTTTGAGGCACCTCAAAAGCCTTCACCAGACCAATGGCCCTCCGCCTATGGCCAAGCCTAAGCGCTTTTGAGAAAGGTCGTCCATCACCTCATTGCAAAAGCGGCCCTCCTGATCGCTGCTTCCCAGTGTTCCCTTCGTGTGCCCACACTTCCTCCCAATCCGGTACGAAGGGGGTATTGTAGGGGCGCGGGTCGAAGCAATCATCCACTCCTCCAGAACCTACCTTGAGGAGTTCTCCCCTTCCATCCATCCACACACACACCCCGCCCTCCACCTCGACGTCAGTAACGCTTTGAACGCCATCGAGAGTGGGGGCGGGCGGGCGTATTCAAGGGCCTTTGTCATTGCCCCCGGGAGTTCCTCATTCCCGTCACCGCATTGTCCTACAGCAGCAGCCACTCACGGGTCGTATCGTACTGGATTGGACAACACTTCCTTGACACCGCGTTCAACTCAACGTCGCCCACCTCATCAGCACCACAGGTGTTTGTTCGCCAGGGGGATGCCATGCCGTGGGCTGGGCCCCCTCTCCTGTTCGCTGCCGCCATCCACCCCGCGCTCAAAGCAGTGGCCGCCTCCCACCCTACTGTCGTCATCCTGGCTGGCACTCAGGCGGGAGGCGGCGAGCCACTGCTTTGAGCTTCTTCACTCCACCGTGAGTGCTCCACCGTGAGTGATCTGCTGCCCCCCCCAAGACTGCTCTGCTGCTTTCGACTCCTTGACTTCGGCCAGCAGCCTTCTGCCCACAACCTCTCCAAATGCGAGGGATGGTGGCCCAGCTCTCAACCAAACCTGCTTCTGTCTGCCGACCCGCGCCACCCTCTGCAGCAGTGGCTTGCGTGTTGTTCTCGGCGGCCCTGTGAGGTCCACAGCCTTCAGCGTGGCGTTCATCCAGCAGCGCCTCTCGATCAGATGCTGAAATCCTCCGTGTTCCAAATCAGCATCTGAAATCGTCTCCTAGGTCAACCCCCAAATCTGCCTCCTCTTCCTTCTCTCCCTCTGCATCGGCCGCGTGTCCTTTTTGCTCTGTACTTCTCCAACAAACACCCTACCTGCGAAGGAATGGTCGGAATGGGGTAAAGCATCCTACCACATCGGTGTGCCACGCCACATCAACCCCCCTGCATCGCCACCCTGGGGTTCAGTCCCGCACTTGGCGCCAGACCTCCCTCCCAACATCCCTGGGCGGGCTCGGCCTCTCATACCCAGCCGCAGAGCAGTTTCCTGGCGTTAACGACCGCAACAGCGCATTTACTCAGTGCCACCAGCAGCTCACTGCACCCTAGCATCGCGGCTCTTTTCCCGCTCTTCAGCCCAAACCCTAACAGCCGAGCAGCTCTCCCAAGACGCCCGGCTGTAGCGGACAGAAACCACCGCCACAGCCTGCCTCCTCGCTTCACCTACTCTGAGACGGCTTAGAATCGCTCAACGCGCAGTGGGGTGTGAGCCTACCTGTGCAGACCGCAAGATTCTATGCTGCTGGAGGAGAGCAACCCCCCGCTCAGGAATATGGAGCTGAACGCCCTGCTCGGACACAGCCAGCGCCCGCACACCCTTCTTCGTCGGTGTTGGTGCGCCTGGGCCGTGGTGTTTTGTTTGAGCCTGCCACACCTTGTGCCCACCGCATGTGACTGGAACGACGCAACAGAGATACTCGGCCCACGTCTCCCAAACCATCTGCTCCGCTGCAGGACCGGCGAAGGGAGGACTGGCACTCACAATGATGCTGTGCGCGATGAAATGCGCATTTGCATTGACCAGGATCGCATCCGACTCCGATCTCACGGTCCACAAAGAGCTGAAGGGCTCAGGGTGGATCTCGCCATGCGCCAACCCAACTCGGGGGGGCGTGTGCCTGTATGATGTGACGGTGACAGACCCAATCTCTCTGCAAGACCCCACGGCCTTCCACAGCATTGGTTGGGTGGCCAAGAAGCTACCCGTCCCAAAGAACAGAAATCCCACTGCAACCGGACGGCCTGGGTCGGGTTCTAGGCATTGGCTGTGGGGACGTACGGGTACGTTTCATCGGGTAAGCTCAAGTTCTTTTACAGGTGCGCCACCCTTGTGGCTAAACAACTCCAAGCCGAGCCGGGCAGAGCCGGCCGGTTCTTGAGAGCCGGGTTCCTGCAAAACGGCCAGCCCTTCCAGCACTACCGCCAGCGGTGGTCCATCCATCAATCATCCTCCAACACGCTAAGGAGTCAGGCCAACAATGCCCTAACCGCCAAGTCCCACACCGCCTTGGTGGCCGGCACGGGTGGAGCCCATTGACGTGCTTCATGAGCCCGTTGACTTGGGGGGGGGCTTGATGCAAGCCCTGGGGCCGGCTTGCGAGCTCGTGTACGGCGGTTCTGGGCGTAGCTTTGCTTGTCATGTACTCACCTTCCATTGCACTGTAGCCCCATGTATATACAAGGACCATTCGAGGGTGAGAACGCATTGTGGGAGAGATGCGAATAGAGAAAGCGAGATCGAATTGCATAGTGGGTGTGTGGAGGGATGGGAAGGGGATGGGGAGGGATTGAGATACGGTAGAGCGGGGGCAAACAGTGCAGAATGATGTAGTGTGATGCGGTGTGATGCAGTGCAGTGCGGGCACTCACGTATTTATGAAAGTCCCTGGGAACAGAGGGCGAGGGGTTGACAGCGGCAGCGAGATTAAACTCGGAGAAGAACCGGTCGACGGGGTTCCTGAGAATCACAATGAACTTGCTCCTGGGCAGCACCAGGTGCAGCAGCTGCGGCACTGTGTGCCTGTCGTCCACGTGGCCTCGCAGCACCACGCCTGAGCTTGTGAGCAGCGTGCTGGACGCCTCGCCTGTCACCGCGCTGCCCCCCGTGTTCACCATGTGCTGCGCTGCCTCGTCAAAGAGCGACACGTACCACGCAAAGTCCCGTGCGCCATTGCGGTCCCACCTGCACAAGGGAGGGTGGGGATGGGGCAGCGGGGGTATGGAGGCAGGAGAGGGGAGGGGGGGGGGGGGGAACCGCGGGGAAGGGATGGGAAGTGGAGGGGTGGAGGCGAGCAGGGAGATGTGATGGGTGGGGGTGTGTGTCTCTCGGGAAGTTGCGGTCCTAGTTTAAAAGGTTTGGGATGCTTAAGGATGGGGAAGGGGAGGGTACGGCGCATCAGAATTCGTCCAATGTATGCTACACAACGAGATTGAAAGGTTGTGTCTTGAGAGGTTCTACAAAGAACAGGGGTTCATGAGAGGGTTGGAGTTGAGGAGGACGAGAGGAGGGGAGGGAGGGGAGTGGCTGTGGGGAGATGAGGATGGTGGTTGTTGTGTGGCAGGAGGGGAGAGGACGAGAGGCAGGGAAGCAGAGAAGGGAGGACGAGATAGAGGACTGCGATTGAGCTGTTGGTGGAAGCATTCAAAGAAGAAGAAACTGCACGGGGGTGGTGTGTGGATGGGCGGAGAGGATTGTTAGAGGGAATTGAGTCATAAACGTTGTGCATTATTGATTGTTGCTGGGATGGGATGGCATGGCAGCACAGGAACTGACTAGGGCGAGGATAAGGATTGACAAGGATTGTTGAATTGTGCTCATCATGAGCTGGGGAGAAGGCAAGGCAGGTCCTCCTACCACTGGGGGTTGGGGATGGCGGCTGGGAATATGCCCGGGATGATGGAGGAGGTGAGCTTGCGGTACAGGTCCTGCGTGCCCGCCCTGGGATGGTGGGCGGGATAGGCATGTGCGACAGGGGGACAGGGAGGAAGCGAAGGACAGAGCAGGCGTGATGGAGGACGTGAGCTTGCGGTACAGGTCCTGTGTGCCCGCCCTGGCAGTGTCGGCATTGTGGTGGGATATGCATGCAGGCAGTGGGTGCGAGACAAGGGGGGTGGGAAAGGGAAGAACAAGATGGAGCGGGCGTGATGGGTGAGGGGTGAGGTTCTGGTACAGATCCTTCTTGCATGGCGGCACTGAGAGTGTGTGGGTAGGGTACACGCATGGTGCACAGGGAGGGGAAGGGGAAAGGAGAGGGAGTAGGAAGTACGGGGGCGAATGCAAGAAGGAGCAGTGAGGGACGGGGAACATTCTGGTACACGTGCAGCAGCAAGAGCAGGGGCAAGTGCAGGAGCAGGAGCCGACAGGGAAAACAGTTGGAGAGAAGATATGAAGAAGATCGCCTATGGCAGATGGAGAAGAAGAAAAGGGAAAGAAGCAAGTGGAGGCACACCTGGTGGCACCAATGATGAAGAAGTACGGCAGGCAGTGCACCTCAGGTCCTGCCGCTCCCTCATTGCCCCCACTCCCCGCACTCCCCGCCGCACCCCCCGCCTGCACGCGCCAGCACGGATTCCGCATGCTGCTGTCCATGCCCTGCCGGGGCAGCATCTTGAACTCCTCCCCAAACTTCATCCACATGTCCCGCGCCACTGCCCCCTCGCCGCCCGTGCCCCCCTGCTCCTCCGCTGACGCCCCTCCCCCGACTCGCTCCCCCCAATTCTCCCCCGCACTTCCTCCCCCGCCCCCGGCCACAGCCCCTGCCACTTCCCCTGCTGCACCCAACCCTCCTCCCATACCACCAGCACCACCAGCACCAACAACAGCACCAGCAGCACCAGGCACAGGAACAGCAGCAGGAGCAGAAGCATCGGGATCAGGCAGTGTTGCGGGTGACACACGCTCCTCATTGAGCACACGTGTGTCGTCAAACTCCTGGGGATCCAGGGCGGCTTCAGAGCCCTGCAGTGCGCGGCACAGCACCAGGCCCTGCTGCGACCCCGCCACCACCAGTAGCACCTCCAGGTGCTCCAGCCCGTGCACTAGCGCCGGGGTGCCGTCCTGAGGGGGCGCTGGGCGGCCTAGCTGCCCGTGCTGGTTGTCGCCCCTAGAGGGAGGGAGGGCCAGGGGGGTTGGCAGCAGGTGGATCGGGAATGGCGGTTAAGAACAGGGGGCTGACAACGGTGGGGCAGTTGAGAGAGGGTGCTAAGGGGAGAGGAGGAGGCGGGGGGAAGGGAAGGACGCCACCAGTCCGCCACCACCAGCAGCACCTCCAGGTGCTCCAGCCCGTGCACTGGCGCAGGGCTGCCGTCCCGGGAGGGCTCCGGGCGGCCCAGTTGCCCGTGCTGGTTGTCGCCCCTGGGGAGAGGAGGGAAGGCAGGAGGGGTTGGGAACGGGGGGGTTGGGAACGGGGTGCTGGAATGGGGGGGGGGTTGAGAACGGTGGGGATGGGTCTTGGCTGATGAGGCAGTGTCGTGAGGAGGGAAAGGAGTGGGGTTACGCCCATTGCCCACCCCGCCACCACCAGCAGCGGAGATGCACAGCACGAGAACCTCCAGGTACACCAAACCTCTCACCAGGAGGTACTCTTGTCTGGGCCAGAACTGCGCAACTCACCACGAGTACACCACGCCGTGGCTCAGTCTCGCCACAGCGAACCCCTCCCCAGCCGACACCTGCTCCACTGTCTGCCAATCCAACCCAACCACCCCCTCCCCTCCCCCCGCCCCTCCTCCTCCTCCGCTCCCCACAACTCCCGGCTTATTCGCCGGCACCTGCCCCTGGCCGTCCCCCCACGCGCGCCCCGGCCGGAAACCGTCTTCCTGGTGGGGGTGGGATAAGATGCGGGGATGGGTGGGATGGGGTGGGATCGGGTAGGATAGGATGTGCGAACGGGGTGGGACGGATGTAGGAGGGAAGTGATGGGGTGGGATGGGGCGGGCCGCGGAAGGGAGGGGAACAGGTGGGAGGGAGAGGGATGAGGAGGCGATATAGTGTTTCTGTGATTCATTTCCGTCTGCAAGAGTGTGGGCTTGCACGCAGCGAGCTGTTGTGTGAATCGGAAAGTGTGCAAGAGGTGGGTGGGAACAGGAAGAGGGTAGAGGCAACAGCTCCTCCCCGGGCGGGCGCGTCCAACACAGGCCCCACCAAGGCAGCGATCTCCGCTGCATGCTGGAGGCATGCTTCTCCCGCCCGATCAACGTATGTGCCCGATGGGCTCCCCTGAAGAAGGACCTGCGCCTTCTCCAGAATCAGCTGCACCATTGGCTGACACTCAGCCAGAAGCCACAGCTGCCCCAAGCTCACCTTGGCGGTTGTCACCGTCGGCGGCCCAGGATCCGCGCGGTTGCGTGCCTGCATTGACGCCACCACGAGGCGGCGAGACGACCGGTGACCACCCTCGTGAGCCGTGGGGAAGTCACGTAGCAGTCACGGTCGCACAGTCGATGCCACGGCCTGAGGGAGCCGATGGAGCTGCCGCGGCGACCTGACCCCCATCAGCCAAGGGAGCCTCGGGAGCCACAGGGACAACGGGAGAGGAGCGAGTTATCCCCGACGCGTGATCCTGTTCGGGAGCCAAACCAAGATCCGAGCGTGGAGGCACGCCAGCCACCCCGAGGGGCTCATGATGCGGCGCGCTCTCCACTCACGCCTCGCGCGCCGGAGAACGAGCTCGAGGAGATCGGCGCTCCTCCGCTTCCGCGAGCCCTGATTCCATCGTGGGAAGAAGTTGTATGGCCGGGAGACGATCCGCCAGTGACACCAGGACCGCCGGCGGGGAGAACGCTCGTACAGCCTCAAAGCGCGCGTGGGAGCACGCGGGGGTGAGGCGCGCGCGGGGGGAGACGAGGCAGGGGAAGCGGCAGGCAGTCAGCGCAGGCAGGGGGAAACGGGGGCGGAGCGATGAGCCCCACGTGGCTCAGAGAACCTGCGAGTCACACGACAGGCAACCGCCCTGGCGCGGGCCAACGGCGGGGCTTGGGAAAGCGGAAGGGGACTGGGGGGAAGGCAAGCGCCTGATATGGACGAGGGAAGCGACGCAAGTTATAGGCCCGAAAATCACGCAAACCCCCCATCACCGGAGTCCCAGGCCATGCCCGCGGCGAACCCTACCCAGACACGTCGGACTAGAGGAGGCTCAGTCCGTCGCCAGCGAACAACGAGGCTACCACCAGACCAAGCCTTGTCACCAAACGACCTGGCAAAACGGGATGACCTATTCGCGATTGCGTCTGACTGGGACATCACGGAGCTCACCTCATCGCTCCAGCAGCCGATCGTCCGACGACTCCCACCACAGGTGCTCAGCGACTTTGCCACCTGCCTACTGGCGGCGCTAATGAGAATCTCAACATCCCCTAATTGCGTGGGGGCATGGAGGGTGTTGCTGTTTCTGCCACGACTTACACTACGCCTTGGGGCTCGCGTCTCATATTTCCAACCGTTTTACACTTGGTTGGGTTTGCCCGACTGTGATTGGGTAACGAAAACGAAATATTTGACGAGTGGGCGAAAAAATCAGGTGAAAGGTCCTGCGGGCCCAGATGCATGACTTCAGGGCCCAGTTCGGCAGCCACGGAAGGACGGAAGAAAAATGTTTCCGCTTTCTAAGAAGCTTCTAATCGCATTATCGAGGGCAAAACAGTGCGGGCTGTAGGGTTAAATTTCCGGAAATCGAAGCGCAGGTGTTTAACAGCAGCGAGTCGAACCCCACCAAACATTGCTTCCGCGCCGACTTCTGTCCTTATTCTCCCCCCTTGGCGGAAAGCTTGCGCCCTAGAGAGACGGAAGAAGAAAGTGATTCTTTGAAAACGGAAGAATCAATTTTCTGATTCCACCTGGGTTCACTGTTCACGGGCCAACATTGGACCCTACAAAGGAAAGGGTTACTACATTAAAAAACAAATTGTTCTTTCTTTGAAAGTTGGATTTCCCCAACAGCATGGGGTGCAAAATCTTTTGTTTTTTCTGGCGAAACTTTCTGTTCCCGCTACAGTGCCCTGGGGCAAGCACATTCGAGGCCAAATGTGCCTCTCTCCTGCAGCGTTTTTTCGTATCCCCCCCCTCCAATCTGCGCCAGCTCCCCCATGGCGCAGGTTTCCCGCGGAGCAGTCAACCCAAGGTCAAAATTCGTTGTCCCTGGGTTGACGCGAGCCTCACCTTCCCATAACCTATGAAGATTGTCTGGCACCTGGCACACGAGGTGCACCACCACAGTACACCGAGGATCCAACCGGGGTTACCAGCAGGGCGGAGGGCTTAGTGAAACGAGGGAACTTGCGAAAAGCGCTCGCAGCATTACAACCTTCGCCAAATTCGCCACCGACGGAGGAAACTTTGGCCTCGCTAAAGGCGAAACACCCAACCTCAACTACACCGATCCCTGAATGGGTACACTCCTACACCCCTGCAACAACTTTCGAACTCCCTCTCGAAAAAATTGAGCGCACCCTCAACGACTGTCCTAACGGGGTGGGAGCTGGGCCATCAGGTACTACCTTCGAGCACCATCGAAGTCCTCGCCCACCCGCACAAGGCTGTCCAGCACCTGCTCTCTCCCCACGTCACTCCGGAAATCATAGCCGTGCTAAGCCCACTCGACTGATTGCGTTTAGCAAACCAGAGGGAGGGTTCAGGCCCATTGGCATCGGCGAAACCATATTGCGCATAGCGGCCAAGGCAGTTTTGGCGGAGCTACAAGGAGATATTCAACGGGTTCTTCCTCCCCACCCAGTTCGGCGTAGCGGTGCCAGGCGGCTTAGAGGCCGTTATCCACGCCGTCCGTTGCCAAGCAGCAGCCCACTCGAACGACCTAGTCATCCAGCTCGACGTGGAAAATCCGTTTAACACCATCGAGCGCGAGTCTTTCTTCAACGCCCTAAGAGATACCCCCCTCGCCCCGCTCATTCCACTCACTCGTTCGCTGTATGCAACACCGACGAAGCTGCTCCTCGGCGCAGAATTTGCTTCACCGCCTCTGATCAGCAGCAGAGGGGTCCGCCAAGGGGACCCCCTGGGCCCCCTACTCTTCGCGGCTGCCATTCAGGGCCATCTCCGCGACACAGCCGCGGCGTTCCCCAGCCTGACAGTGCTGGCCTACGCGGATGATGTCACGCTCTTGGGCCCACCCGCGGTGGCTTCGGCGGCCTTCATCGACCTTACCGAGCGTCTCGGCCGAAATGGCCTTCAATGCAACTTGGACAAATCAGGCGCCTGGTCCCCCGAACCGCCAGCTAGCGTCTCCCTGCCACCAGGCCTGACCCTAACAGACGGCAGCATAGTGGTGCTTGGGAGCCCCATCGGCACACGCCCCTTCTGTGCCGACAAGATCAGGGCCACGCTTCTGGACTCCACCTCCCCGCTCCGACCCCTCACGCGCCTTCACCCATAGCATACCCTCCTGCTCCTCTCCCGTTGCGTCAGCAAACGCATCACCTTCCTGCTACGCACGACACCCGTAGACTCTCTACCGCTACCGGAATGGGCGGAGTGGGGCAAGCAACTGCTGTTTACTGCCCTGGCATCGGCTAGACAGTACCCCCCACGACGCTCCTCCCGACCTCCTCTGCAGGCAGGCCTCCCTGCCCGTGAGCCTCGGGGGACTTGGCCTCACTGACCCCACCTCCGAATCCGGCCCAGCCTACCTGGCCTCAACGACAGAGATTCGCCATCTCCTGCTGTCTCTCAACCTGCCTCAACTTGCCCATGCTGCCGACCTGCTGCTCCCAACCACATCGCCTCCGAACACCATCTTTGACCTCGAGGCCCGACTGCCGGAGAAAGCCCGTGCTATCCTGATGGAGGAACGCTCCAGCCGCAGCTGCAATCACCTCCAGAGCATTTTATCAGACGAGGTCCAAGCAAGCAGGGCGGATGCGCTCCTGGCGGACTTCCGCACGGTTGAATCTTCCCCGGAGCTGGGCCACGCCCTGCGACTCATCAGCCTGAGGGGGGAGGGGGCAGGGGAGTGGCTGCAAGCGATCCCCTTCACACCGGACCTCACTTTCTCACCAGGACAATTTGGGACGGCCCTGGCTTTCCGCCTGGGCCTCAGGATGAACGTGCCGACTGTATGCTCCTGTGGAGAACTCGTCCCTGACTGGTGCCTCCCTAACCACCTTCTCCGCTGCAGCGAAGGACCAGACAGGATCCGCACCCACAACCAACTGGCGTTTGCACTCGCCAAAATGGCTCGGGAGGCGCAGTTGGTGGTGTATTTGGAAAATGCCATGTACTCACCGCCCGATGACCCCAAGAAGGCGGACGTCATCGTCCGGGATCCGGAATCGGGTGAAACCTGGATCACCGATGTTACCATCACTGACCCCGTGCTTCTGAATAGGGACCCTACAGCCCGAAAACCACCAGGATGGGCAGCACGGGAGGCCGCTCGGCGCAAGGACAGCGAGTACTACCGCCACACTGAGCACGTGGGCTTTTTCGCCCTGGCAGTGGAGACCTATGGAGCCCAAGCCCCGTCCACCGCGGCCTTCCTCAAGCTGCTCTCGACCGCAGCGGCCCGGAACCGTTTCCGCGCCAACCCCCTGGCCAAGACGGCGAAGAAGGTGGCAGCCCACTTCCGGCAGCGCTGGGCAGTCATGCTCCAACGCAGCCAAGCGAACGCCTTACACGCAAAGGCGCGAGCGGGCATTGAAGCGGCACACCCGCAGGCTCCGGCGGACCCCTGGCCCCTGCAGCTAGGGGACCTCCTCCACACCCTGGAGTAAGGGGAGGTGCTAGGGGGCGGGTAGATGTAGAGAGGTATATTTGCATGTTCAGCCTTCTGCTCTCCGTTGACCGTACTGCTTGTAACAATCACCGAATTAATACAAAGGACCGTTCGAAGAGGGTAGAAAGCCGTTGGGTGTTCAGGGTAGGGTTGAGAGGAGTAAAAAAGGGTTGGAACAGTGACGAGGGATGCACAACCAACATGCGCTACAATGGTTGGCCACTTTGAGCCAGACAACTCCTCACAACCCTGCATGAACCCGTTCCTACACACTCCCGCTCGCCTCCCTCTCCCACCACCTCCCACCCTCCTCAGCCTCCTCTCTCTCCCTCCCACCCCTGTCCTCTCCCACCCCGCCTCCCTTCCACACCTCCCCTTCTCCCCACAGCCCGTCGCACCTTGCTCTTGATTGGCCGGCCCAGCTGGCCCCTGTTGTTGAGCCCCCATGTGAACACCCTACCACTCTCCATCATAGCAACGGAGTGATACTTCCCAGTCGCCACCGCCACCACCTGCACCTCCCCCGTCAGCCCCTCCACCGGCGCAAGCCGCCAAAACGCGCCGTCCGCGCGCCCTAGCAGCCCCGCGGGGCGCCTGCGCGCATCCCAGTCGCGTCCCCACAACAGCACCACGCCCCCCGGAGTCACTGCCAGGGTGTGCCCGCTCGCAGCCACCGTCGACACCCCCACGCGCCGCAGCACGCCCCCCACGCACATCGCCAGCGCGAACTCGTCTGCGGAAGTATTCCCCCCCGCCCCTGCGCTTCCGCCAGAGCGACACGTAGGAGGGACCCGCGGAGAAGGCTGGGAGGAAAGGCGGAAGGAAAGGCGGCGGATGACGAGGCGCCCGAGGGGACGGACGCGTGGAAGGCCGAGTTGAGAGTCAACAGCCCGCGGTGCCTGCCCCCGCCGCCGGGCTGGCGCCGCGTGGTTGACGTGAACATGGCGGGTGGGTGGGGGCTGGATGCTGGGGGGATGCCCCAGGTGAAGAGGCGGCCGTGCTGCGAGATGGCGAGTGTGAAGTACCGCCCTGCCACTATCGCCAGCACTCGCTCGCGCGCCAGCAGCCCTCCCACCAGCCCAGGCCGGAAGCCGTCCTCCTGGTGGGGGTGGGATATGGGAGCAAAGAGGTGAGGTGGGATGGGGAGGGAGGGGGAGGAATGAGGAGGCGAGCGCATAATACTGCGTCATAAGTAATTCTGAAAGTACGCGTGTGTGCTGTACGTTGGCATTGAGAGCAAGAGCTGTTGCTGCATGATGGCTTGTGTGAAGTACCGCCCTGCCACGATTCTTGAGGCGCCTCAAAACCATTTCGCCACGCACCACTAATTTTCCCCCAGCCAGTTCTGCACACGCACATGCACGCACCCCTCCGTAGCCGCCTCCAGATTTTCGATGTGCTGGTTCTGCTGGCGGGGGTGTGGTTGTGATGACTAGGGGGTAACGGGGACAGACAACATTGAATTCCCCGATGCATGTCATCCGGTGGAAGTTAGCTTCGTGTTAGCACTCCATTTTAGCGAGTCGCGGCATTATCGAATAGCGAATCTCGTCGCCGCGCCACCACCCCAGCAGCGAGCGTACTCCGTCTAGTTCAGTTCAGAGCATGCGTCTCTCGTGGGTCCTCTCTCCCCGTCACAACTTATCGTCTTTGGTCACCATCACGGAAGTTCCATGCGACACTATCGCTGCGCCATACCCCTCGCGCCTACTCTGATCCTCTCGGTTCCGCGCGCCCACGCCTTTATGCGGCTTCCGCCTCCGGTCCATCAACGTCAGCGGTTGCCGATCTGTCAAAGTTCGGCTACCGGTCGACGGCGGAAGATGTGACGGAGGGCGTCGATTTGAGCGGCAAAGTGGCAATCGTGCTGGAAAAAGGGATTGGCCCGCGAAACAGGGTCACCCTCGAAATTGGTTGACGTGACATGAGTCGCGGAGCACTCTCGGCAATGTTACCAAATTGGGGATGCAACTCAGGAAATCCTTCGCGCCACACTTCGTGGAAGCAAAGAAATCGTGAAACGTTGCTGGCAGGGAAGTAGCAGCCTTAGTAGGCTAGGAAAACGGGTATGAAGTGCTCTCTGGAGTTCTCTGGAATTTGCAATATGCCTTTAAAAATTTGACAGTACAATTTTATAGAGCACATTCAGAAATCGAGTCGCACTACCAAGTCGCGACACCCTGAATTCCCTATTGGTAACCCTTCCCTTGTAAATGAACCTTGCCGTGAAATTCAGGGGATTATTGCGGTACGGGATTGGTCGGCGAGTTTGATTACGGGGCTATAATTTCGTCGGCGTGGTTGGCGAAGTCGGCGAGGCGTCGGAACTTGGGTGTTTTGCGTTTCGTATTTTTTGCGCGAGGGTTTGACTTGGGCTGCGTGTCAGGACCTGGTCGCCCAGCTGCAGGTTGAGGCGTTTGACCAATACGAACAGTTGGTGAGGTGGCGCTTGACTTCCGCCCACCTGCATTGTACTTGGCAGCATTCGGCTGCCACACTGTTACATTACTTCCCCCTCCAAGCGGCGCCGTCCACGGCGCCAAACCATGGCTGGTCAAGTACCGATTCACAGCAGTTGCGGCACGGTCAAGGTGGCTCTCTGGTTCCCATGAGTCGTCACTACTGGGCTGGTCCTTCCAATGAACAAGAAACTCGCGACCATGAGGTGTGTCGCGATGTGCAGCGATAGATTCAACCTCAAACAGGCCGGGACTGCCTTCGAACATCGTTGGCAGTTGGCGTGTGGCTGGACGGTCCTGTGAAGGTGCACGGAAAGGGCGGAGGTGCTGGACATGGAAGACGGGGTGAATCTTCATATAGCTGGGCAGTTGGAGACGGTAGGTGACTGGTGAGATGACTCGGGTGATGGTGAACGGGCCAATGAAGCGAGGGGCGAGTTTTCTGGTTGTGCCTTTGCGTAGGAGAGGTAGGTGGTCAGTGGAGAGAAGCACTTGATCGCCAACCTTGAAGCGGATATCTTTGCGGTGGGAGTTGGCATAGTGTGTCTGTTTGGCTTGTGCTTTAAGGATGGAGGTGCGAGCGGCGTCAATGGCTGATTCGAGTGAAGTGAGGAACTCAAAGGCTGCTGGTGTGTGTGAGAGGTGGAAGGGTGGGGTTGTGGGGAGGCGTGGGTGCTGTCCGGTTGCGAGGTAGAAGGGTGGCTGACCGGTGGAAAGGTGGGGTGTGCTGTTGTATGCGAGTTCAATGGCGGTGAGGTGGAGATCCCAATCAGTTTGGTGAGCGGTAACTTGTGCACGGAGGGCGTCTTCTAGCGTGCGGTTCATCCGTTCAGTTTGTCCATCCGTTTCAGGGTGATACGCGGTAGGAAACTTCAGCCGGGTTCCAGTGAAGCTTGAAGAGGCTCTGCCAAAAGTTACTCAAGAAGCGGGGGTCACAGTCTGATATGATGGCGGATGGGAGACCATGTAGGCGGACTATATGATCGAAGAAAAGCCGGGCTGTTTCGGGTGCTGGTGACGGTTGTGTGCGTGGGGATGAAATGGCTCATTTTGGAGAGTCGGTCAACGACAACTAGGATGGCATTGTAGCTGCGGGGTGTTCGGGGCAGGTCCATGATGAAGTCCATGGTGACTTCATCCCACACTTTGGTAGGTCGAGGGATAGGTTGAAGGAGTCCGTAGCGGTTGGTGGTGCGTGCTTTGAGTTGTTGGCAGGTTCGGCATGTGCGTATGAAGTCACGCACATCAGCATGCATGCGTGGGAGAGCAAGAGGTCACAAGACCAGTCAAGAGAAGCAAAGCAAGCTCAGGGTGGATCACAACGTCACCACACACACTGAGCACAAGCAAAGGGCCACAAGGCCAGTTCACATGGAGAGGTATATATGCAACAACGGTAGTACAGTGATCTCTACCTAACAGAGCAAGCATGCAGGTATATATATAGATCACAGTACAGGCAAAGTCTACAGCAAGTGAGGAAACGTGGGCACAAGGCCTAACAGAGTGCAGAAACGCTGATGATCACCAGACGGAAGCGCCTTGGTGAATATATCAGCAGTGTTGGCCCGAGTGGCCACGTGAGCAAGACGAAGCTGACCACGCTGCTGCAACTCTCGAGCCAGGAAGTAACGCAGAGCGATGTGCTTCGTTCTGTGCTCCAGTCTGTGCTCCTGACACAAGGCAATGGCGGCCTTGTTGTCGACGTACAGCACTGGATGAGAACGAGGCCTCTCTCCCAGGTCGGTCAGCAGGTAGGTGAGCCAGCGTAACTCATGTGCAGCCATGGCTGTGGCGTAGATCTCAGCCTCACAACTGGAGCCGAGAACAGAGGACGAGCGTGTAGACCGCCAAGAAACAAAACCAGAGCCAAGGCTGAAGGTGTAACCCTGTGACGACTGCTGCGTAGCCTGGTCGTCAACCCAAGAAGCGTCCGAGTGCCCAGTGAGGACAACGTCGCCCCGTCCTCCAAGCACGAGCCCCATGCCCGATGTACTGCACAAGTAGCGCAATACCCTCTTAGCAGCATCCATGTGCACCTTTCGGTGCCGACCAGGAGCCACGTAGCGAGCTAGAAGGCCAAGAGGGTATGCAAGGTCAGGACGAGTGCAGGTCATCAGGTACATGAGGCAGCCCACTAGCTCTGGGTAAGGACCACTCGGCTCTATGGACTCGTCCAAAGATGGAGCTGAGAGCGAGTGACCTGTAGCCAGAGGAGTGGCCTGTGTCGAGGACCAGGTGAAGCCGAAGCGCTGAAGGACCTGCTGCACCATGTGTGACTGAGTCAGTGTGATGGTGTGCCGTGCTCTATCCCGGGTGATCTGCAAGCCAAGGTAACTGCGCAGCTCACCCACGTCTGTGCACGTGTGTCTCTTCTGCAGCTCCGACTTCACCAAGGCGAGAGCCTCAGTGTCAGCAGTGGCAAACACCAAGTCGTCGACGTACACGAGGATGTAGAACGGCGGCAGCGAAGTGTCGGTGCGCAAAAACAGCGACGGGTCAGCAGTCGAAGGAGCAAACCCAAGAGCCGCAAGTGTCGTACTCAGTGTGTCGTGCCAGTCACGCGGCGCCTGGCGAAGATCGTAGACTGGCCACCGGAGGCTCCACTGGGTACCAGGAGGGAACGACCCAGTGAAGCCGGGTGGGGCGGCGCAGCCAGATCTCCTCGTGCAGGCTGCCCTGTAAGAAAGCTGTGCTGAAGTCAAGAGAGTGAAGCTCGTAGTCACGCTGAGCGGCAACGTGCAGCAGCACCCGAAGAGTGGTCATCTTCGGGGTGGGGGAGAAGGTCTGGAAGAAGTCAACTCCCTCTCGCTGACTGAAACCTCGAGCAACGTAACGAGCCTTGAAGACAGTCTAAGAACCTGGCGGCCGCTTCACCCTGAAAATCCACATGCGACTGACGATGTTCGCCCCAGGAGGAGGAACCTCGTCGACGTAGGTGCCTGTGGACTTCCAGGATGTCATCTCTGCGTCCATGGCTGTCTCCCACTGAGAGGAGTACTCACCCGCGATCACCTCAGCGTAAGAGCGCGGGGTCGGGATGTCTGGAGCATCCGAGTCTCCCTGAGGGGCAAGCAGCATGGACACGAGATGAGGCGCAGCGGCTGCAAGACACTCAAGGTCCGCGTGCCTGTCCTCAAGGACGTCCGTGCCAAGAGCACACTCACCCCCGACGGACGGAGGACAGACAGACTCAGACTCAGCAACAAGACTAGCGGCGTAGTCTAGACGACATGCAGCAGCAAAGCCAACAAGCTCAGCGACTAAGGCAGACGTAGCAGCAGACTCAAACGACAGGTGAGTGACAACTTTGACAACGCAAGAGGGGATGGCAGGGGAACACGCTGCGGAGGAGAGGAAGGACGACGGACTACGAGTAGGGTGCCGGGTACAGCCGGCTGACTCGAACGAGGAACACGACGACCGGGACGACCAGAATAGACATGCGAGACAGGACGCAACGTAGGCTCACGACGCTCAGTAAGGCCCCCTGTCTGCTCAGTGTAAGGAGAAGGAGCAGGCAGCGGTGAGCCAGGCTGTAACGGAAGACCAGTAGACGAAGAGAGACTAAGAACCTGGCGAAGCACAGAGTCAGACGGTGGCAGAGACGACGGAGACGGCGGAGCAAAGAACAGGCGCGGCCGTGCAGTGCCACCAGCACCAGCAGCTCTAGAACCCCCAGCGCCAGCTCCTCCAGGACCAGCTCCACCAGGAGCAGCACCCCCAGAACC